AGAGTTTTGGCGGGAACGTACGTGAGGCGGGTATCAGCTCGGCGACACCAAAACGAAGCACGTCCAGGGACCGACAGCCATGAGTGCACGAAGGCCCCCGGCGTGCCGCTGAGCCCTGTGGGACACCGGGTCCCCAGGCTTCGGCACGAGGAAGGACAGAGGAGAGGATCAGAACACAGTCTGAGCCTGGAGTCCGGCCAGGGCGAGTCCTAGTATCAGCGGGAAGAGGAGTAAAATCGATCGCTGGCATTTAATCGATCCGGTCTCCTAGCAACGCCGGGATCGCTCCCCAACTAAAACCGCGAATGTTGTGCATCAGGAAGATGAAGCGTCAAGGACACGGACAGGAAGGAGGGCGCGTTCCGTGGGTGCTGGATAGAGAGGCGGGCTGGGCACAGTCTCGCTGGCGTCGCTCTCCTTTCCCAAGGGCTGGACTTGCCTCTCGGGCCCCTCTGTTGGGACTGGACTGTGGCCCGGTGCGTCCCCCGTCCCCGTTTTTCTGTCCGTGGCATCGTGGAAGCGCCTGCATTCTTCATCCAGACGGGAAACTGGCTCATTAAACCCACCTGCCGACCGCTAACGAGGAGCCAGGTGTAGTGCTAAGAGTTTAACGTGGTTTCTGTCATTTACCCCTTGTTCCCCTGTGACGCAGGTAATAGACGTGTCCCCGTGTCCCCGACGAGAAAGCCGGCGGCCTGGACTGTTGAATGACTTGGCCCCGGTTACACAGATATTAGGTGGAGAGCTCAGATGCCATCACAAGCAGTTTGTCCCCAAACCCCATGTCCCTGCCTGCTCTGTGATGACACCGTAACTGCAGAAAATGGCCTAGGACAAGTAGAAAGACAACCCTCGGCATTAACGTCATTATCACCTCACAGGTTAAAGCGCTTATGCTTCAAACGCCCCAGTAGCAGGGAGAGCAAAGGCACCTTTAAGATCGCAGAAATACCAGTGACCCCGAGAAATGTACCCGTGCGCACGTGCACGCCGACGCCGTCACGTTATGCTTCAAACGCCCCAGTAGCAGGGAGAGCAAACTCTCCTTTAATATCGCAGAAACACCAGTGACCCCGAGAAATGCACCCATGCGCACGCGCGCCAACGCCGTCACCTTCCAGGGGGCAGTGGCCCTCCCGGGTCACAGCGCGGCCACCCGTGTTAAGGCCACTCAAATACGTAACTTCCAAGCGTACCTGTAAATACCTGACGCTCAGGTGTGCGCCCTCACTGACCTCAACACTTGTAAACTGCGCCTCGGGGACTGGAGAAAGGCTGGGGCAGGGGCCTGGGCCTACACCACCGGGTGGGGACCCCGAGCAAGCTCCTGCTTCTTCCGGCGCCTCGGTCCCCTGACTCGTCCAGTGGGGACGATGACGGTGGTGAGCCCAGGGTCGTGGCCGGAGGGTTCACCGAGTGGAGATTCCTCCCCTCAGCGGAGGGCCGGTGCCCGGCCAGCTCCGAGGAGCCCTTCGCACCCTGCCTGCGACTGACAGGGAGAGGGGATCCGTGGAGGAGCTCGTGGCCTGTCACCCCACAGCCCCACTGCAATTCCTCACGCGGTGCCCTGGGCACAGCAGGTGCTTGGTGACTACGCGCAGAATGAATCGGGAAGGAAAAGCGAGTGGGCATTGCCCGTGTCCAAACACGCACTAATCAAAGAGCCCGTGGAGCTGCGGAAGGTCTCTGTGCGCCCCGGCGCCCACGTGCCCCACAGGTGCCTTTGTGATCTGTGGTCTCATGGTTCAATCTCAGCGTTCGGTCCTGATGTAAATACACATTCCAGACGTAGGTTACATTCATCGATCGCTTTATCATCTCCCGCTTTCTTCTCAGAACTAGGTTTCCGGCCCTGATTACTTGTGCGCATCTCCATTTTCATCACCGGAATGATGCCCCTTTTCTTCAGATAGCCAGGCTATCTACACGTGCGTCCCTCTTGTTTTTAAATGCCAGGGAAGCTTACATGGAATAAAGGTAGAATATTTTAATATATTGTATTCACATGTCCCTTTCGACGCCCCCAGATCCCATTTAAAGGAACTTTTAACACATTCCAAACGAAGGGTAGAATATCTTTTAGAATATTCTAAAATAAAGAAATGAGTCTTTATCTTGCTCTTTAAATTACCAAAACCATCGGTTAAAACGTTCCAGTTAATTTTCGCATGTCCATTCTTCCTCGCCTGAAAATGTTCGTTGCTTTGTACAATTTAGTCTTAGATATATTTATTTTTATCATTACTGCGAAGCCAGGTTTGGTATGTGACAGACTCGAAATTCCCATTTCTCTTTAAAATTTTTGTTTAATTATTCTGCATAAAATTAGAGTTACAATTAGGTGGTTCGATTCCATTTAATAGTCACAGATTAAGTTTTCTTACTATATTTTAATATCTCTAATGAAAAGACATTAAATAAGTTGAAATATTTATAGTTCTTATCACGTGATAAAATCTCTAGTTATGGTTAAATATCTGGCTTCTATATCCTAGGTCACTTGAGAGAATTAATGTTTAATTATCTATTTTTGACAAGTGACGAATCAGTTTGGTGGCTAGTTTGGTTATTTTCATAAATTATTTAAATCTCACTTTTGTATCCTTTTATACATTTTTTGCGTATCGATCTCATGAAAATAAGAGGGGTCCTTAGGAATAAAAATAGTCTTTCCAGACTAACGTTTGATTCGTGAGGAATTGACCGGTGCTTCTCAGACGTTATAGTGCACACCAGTCCCTGGGTGAAACGCTAAACGCAGCTTTTGATTCGCGAGGTCTGGATGAGACACGCATCGAGACGCAAACACTGAGGGCATCTGACGATCGCTCAGCAGACGCGCCCTGAGCATCACCGTGAACACGCAGAGTTAGTTTACGATCGCTCAGCAGACGCGCCCTGAGCATCACCGTGAACACCCAGAGTTAGTTTACGATCGCTCAGCAGAAGCGCCCTGAGCATCACCGTGAACACGCAGAGTTGGTTCGCCGCAAGCCCGGCCGGGCGGTGGTGCTGGACGCGCCCTGAGCATCACCGTGAACACGCAGAGTTAGTTCACCGCAAGCCCGGCCAGGCGGTGGTGCTGGACGCGTGAGGCCAGCAGTAATCGACGTAACTTCCCACCCGTTCTCTAAACTCACGCACTGTTTCGTCTTGGGCCCATTTTATCTTTTCCCAGTTAGTCTGCCTTCCCAGCATTTCAAGCAGTAGTAGCCTCTGGAGAAATACAGACCAACTGATTAAGATTTCAAAAGAAATAAATGGTTTCAATGATGACAATTCAAATTAGCAAACATGATTGAACAAGTATCAAGAGCCTTAAAAGCGGGTGAACTTGGAGTAATACTAAACCTCTGTTAACGTGGATTCTTCCTTTCTGGAAGATAAGTGAAAAATTATATGACGTATAAACACCAGTACTGCTAGCTTGGAAATGGGTCTGATGGTCTTTAGATATCAACAGATTCGTATTTTTAATCATTAAAATATTTTATTTGCCAAAATGTACTGTTTATGTTGCTAAAAATTCCTAGTTCTTCCTAAATTCTAGAGGTAGATAATGCGCCCAAATGCTTCTCACAGTGACCTCTTCTAATTAGATCAGACAAGAAGTTGCATTTAGCCCAAGTGTACTGCATAGCAGAATAGCTCTGTTACTGTGTCAATAACGGTGCGATCTAATTGTTAATGAACGTTGGGATTGAGAAACCAGGCATTTCAGAAATTAAATCAGATAGCAAATGTCTGCTGCTGGGAACTACTCCAAGATAATGACTTAAAAAAATTCTGATTATGTACCGTGGACCATTCTAAACCCAGCTGTGGTCCCTTCCACTCACTTGGTGACAGGATGCAGAACCTGTCTAATAATAGTAAAGCCAGCATCAATGGCCGGTTTTATACAAATTGTAGTTAGCTGATATTCTCTGTGTTTCAAATTGGGTAATTAATTGTATTAGCCACGTTGCGCGTAGTACACAGGTTAGACACGATGATGCATCGCATTGCAGGGAGGACGGTTTTGTTGCCGTGCGTGGATGGCGTGCGGGCCGACTGTCTCGCCTTTCTTCCCCTTCAAACTACTGGTGTTAAAAATCATTTTCATCACTTGTTTTTGTATAGTTCTGACGACCCACTAGCGTTTTTAGAGATGCGTTTATAAAAGCTCGCTAATTAAATTTATAAGACATAAAACCGAGCGGATGATTTGGTTTTTCCCATTTTTTGTCTCATAAACGCATTCGATGGCGATACGGTCAGGAAACCAATCTTGGGCTTCCCCCGATGACAATGGGGTTCTGATGTTTGCTTTTCACTATTTCTGATTTTCAGAGAAAATATAAGAATCATGTTGTAAAAGCTCGGAACTTCTTAAGGAGCTCTCCCTCCAGCGTGCGCTCTATGCCTGCACGAGTTTCGAGAACGTGTAATTCAGTCCTATTCATGAGTCTTCATCCCGCCCACGTCTCCCTTCCCCTGATGGGTGCAGTAGGCCACACGGGGGGCTGGGCCCTTTGGCTTCAGAGCCACCTGGGTGGTCCCTTCGAGTCGCTAGCGTTCACAGGCGTTGTGGTCGAGCGCTCTGAAAGTGGCCGGAAGCGCCAAACGAGACCGGGTCTCTAGAGGCACGGACTCAACCATGCGGAAACTGCCTGGCGTTTCTCCAAGGCCGAGTTCACTTCCACGGGGCGGTGGCTTTTCAAACCGCGGTGTAAATAGTCCCATCCGTTACTAAACACGCGAACGCGTCGCAGCGCCAAGCACGGGTGATGTTCCACGCGCGTCGAAAGCAGCGCTGACGATTCCGGTGACAGTTTGAAAGTCATCAGCAAAGCGCGGG